GTGTGTGTGTGTGTGTGTGTGTGTGTGTGTGTGTGTGTGTGCGTCGCTGGTACCAGTGTCTCCCCCCTCATGTCCGGGTAAACGCCATTCACCATCCCTCACGGGCGTGAACGCCGTTCACCGCCTCGCGTTCACAGCCGTTTGGGGGCTTTCGGGGGGTCTGCTCCCCCGGCGGGAACAGGGATCGGTATGGCGCGGCTCCCCCCAGGGCCCCAATGATGTTACTTTTGGAAGAAAAAAGGGCCACATGATTTGTTTTGAAAAAATAAATAAAAATTGGCCCCCGTTTTTGTTTTTGGTGTCATCTATGAATTAATCAATGAATTAATCTCAATTAATCAATCAATCCATTGATTAATTGATCAATCTCTCTCTCTCTCTGTCGCGCGCGACCACGAAATAAGGGAACCTGACTCGAATTGTAGTCCACGTCCAGCCGAGGGTGTGAGCAAAAGAGCGCTACGGGGAAAATCCCTCAAATATTTTACCTGTGCAGCGATTACCAATTCGAGAACCGGAACGTGTCTGACGAGCCTCGAAGCGAGAATGAATCTGCCCCCCCCCCCAACCCCACCCTCACCCCACCCCCCTCCTCCATCTCTCTCTCTCTCTCTCTCTCTCTCTCTCTAGAGAAACACGCACACACACACACACACACAAACACACACACACACAAACACACACACACACAAACACACACACACACAAACACACACACACACAAACACACACACACACACCCATGCACGCCCGCACGCGCCAAGTAGAGAAAGCCCTCCCGGTATCATGCCCCCCCCCCTCCCCCGGGCAGTATTTTAGTCTTTTTTTTTTTTAATTCAACAAAAAATCTGAAACTAACGTCATTCACTATTAAAAAAAGTAGTGGTGGAGGACGACGGGCTCCAGGGTCTCTCTCTCTCTCTCTCTCTCTCTCTCTCTCTCTCTCTCTCTCTCTCTCTCTCTCTCTCTCTCGCTCGCTCGCTAGCTGATTCCATGGACACATTGCGTATGTAACACCTGGCGCGGTGTGTTCAATTGAGTTTTTGACATCTCTCTCTCTCTCTCTCTCTCTCTCTCTCTCTCTCTCTCTCTCTCTCTCTCTCTCTCTCTC